TTATGGCATTTTCCTTACTATGGGTATTGCAGCATCTATATCCTCAACCGTAGTAACAGTGATACTAGAGCCAATATTCATACCAATATTATTGCTGCTGATTTTCATCCTCTACGAAGCTCAAGAATAACATTAAGATGCTACATTTTCGAAGGGTATCAGGCGTTCATCATCGTGCCGGTGAACATCTTGGCTCGACGGTTTTGTCTACAAGGCTGATGATAGAGGCTTCAACGACCAGCACAAAAGCGGGGCGCTTGGGCTCTGAGGCCGGCCGTGTGCGCTTGGCTTGGCGGCCTTCAAGCCTTGTGGTTTTGCGGGGACGACTCTTCCCGGGACGGAACCCTTGGGAGACAAAGGGACCTCGAGGCGAGGAGTCGAAAACCCCCCCCCCCCCCGGTCGTTTTTGAGCCGCTGTGGAACACGCCGCAGCGAGTGCCACTGAGGTAACCCCTGAACCACAAGGGCTACATATCCTATCCCCAAGCCTTTCAAGTTGAGCGAAACGACTCGGAAGTCGGCAAAGAGACTGCGCCTTCACGACTTTCCAGTCTGTGGTGGAGCAGATCTTCACCGTGCCGTCGTAGCTGGAGGTCAGGACCAGGCGTCCTTCCCCCTTCTCAAAGCTCACCTGACGCACGTGCCAAAAAAAGATGCAGTTCGAAGTCACGATGCCGACGATGCGTTGCCTCTGAGATGAGTTTGTTGTGGAGCAGAAGGTTGTGCGTGCACCTCGCAGGAGTTGAATGCTCTGTGATCCCGGACGTGCTGGCGATACTGCTGCACCTCCTCTTCCGCAGATCCCAGACGCGCATGCTGTGATCGTCGCTAGCTGTTGCAAGGATGGTGCCCCGTGGATGGAAGTCGACCGCAAGCACCTCACAACCCATGACCATCCGCTCTCGCAAATTGAAATCAGCTTCGCGGATGGCCTGCTTGCCATGTGCTGCAAGAGGCATAACGGTCTTGCCACTTCGCAAGTCCCAAACCTTGAGCAAAGTGGATTGGACGACGGAATGAGAAGTCCTGAGGATCTGAGGATCTTCACGCGTACAACACCGCCCAGGTCGCTGGTCGCCACAAGAGAACCATCGGGGTGCACAGAGCAGCCGTAGACTGGTCGTGAGTGACCTTCCTCCGAAGGGAAGCTTCGAAAACGACAATTCCACGATCAGACAAGTTGATCCTGCAGCAGCAGCTCCGTGGTAGTCTCGACATCCCACAAGCGCCAGCTCATATCCTAAAGTCTGGATGGTTCGATCGGCGGGTGCATGCCAGGACGGCAGAAAAAAGCCTGCTAAGCCGTGGCACGTGCGATGTGGAAATCACGTGCTCGCCCATGGGGTGAAACCTGAGTGGAACGGCGTCTGTGGAGCGGCCCGGTACACAGCACTGCGCTAAGCCGCTAAGCATCCAGCACCACTCTGTTGACTCGGTCCTGAAACGAAAATGCCGACACTCTGACACGACTGCACACTCTTCAAGATCCTCGTGGCCCTCCAGCACATTGACGGGCTGGCTGTCGGACAAAGACCAGAGGCTAATCCTTAGGCTGGGCACAAGAAGCTCAATGCCACTCAGGACTCCAGCCAGATCCAGCCTGGAGTCTGCTGAAGCTGAAGCAAGGCGGACCGTGTTGCCTTGGCTCCGTTTTTGCTCCGGCTGTAGCGTGCTTATAGTGCTCATGGTGCTTCTGATTCGGAAAGCCAGGCGCCAGACCCTCGAATGGAGGCGTGCCTTTGCAACTTGGGTGCCATGCCACGCTGTTGCACCTGATACCAGAAGCGTTGCTTGTCAAAGATGTGACACAAGCTTCGTACCTGATACGGAAGGACCCAAAACGCTTGACACCGATCACCGCATTCTAGGCTGACGGAGGTGGCTCAGTTGCATGGATGTGCCCGAACCACCCCAATATTCTGCAAGACACAATCTTCACTTGGACAAGAACAGCCATTAAGTCACAAACTTCGACCAAGCTCAGGAATGATCGAGTTTCGCTTCAGCTGCAATGCACACGGATTGGTGCCTGTCTTCGCCAACACGGATGGTAAGGACGGGATCACACGAAGGGGTCTTCCAGAGCTTGATGAAGCCGGACCTTGGCACCAGAACAATCGTCATCGGCTTCTTCGCCCGCTGCTCCCCCCCTACTTCCCTCACTATGCACCCGGCCAGGAAGCAGTGCAGAAAAGCGAAGCATCAGGCGAGAATTTCCCTTGTGTCAGTGGCCGTTCATCGCCCACCTTGTCGTCCCCCAACAAAGCCAAACGTTTGCGAGCGTGCAGGCTACAGACAAAGGAATCCGAATGGATCCAGTCGCAGATTGCTCTTGTTTCCAACCCCTGGCCTGTGACACTTCGGCAACCATGGATTTCTGCAAAAACATTGAAAAGCGGTCCACCCGCTCCTGGCAAAGTCGCACCATGCGTGGGCTGACGAAGAAGTTTAACCCCTCCAGCCTCGTACTCTACAGGGTCTTCATCCATCCGCTGGCGCCGCTCCTTGACCTGACTCGGATTCACGGCACAGAAAGGTGGCAAGCATAACGAGAGAGAGAGAGAGAGAGAGCGAGAGCGAGAGAGCTTTTACTCTTTTGGGGTTTCGGGGTGCGTTTACTCCCTTTTCGCTTGGATCGCTTGGGACCTTCTTTCATTAGAGTTTCGGTCTGGGTTTACTCCTTTTCGGGGTTCGGTCTGGGTTTACTCCTTTTGGGGTTTCGGGTTATGTTTACTCATTTTGAAAGACTTTTCCCTTGATCGCAAAAGGGCTGTCAATCGCACAAGTCGAGTGAAGCAATGCTTACATATGCACAAGCATGGGGCTCACATGAGTTTCACCCCGCCTCGGACTTTCCCAAGCCTTGGGGGATGTCCGCACTCAACCCAAAAGTGCTCAGCCATCTGTTGCGTCATGAAAACACAAGTGGCACTTAGAATACTGCTTCACCCCAGTACTGTTACGGATGGCACCACACCCTGGGCGGTGGAAGCTTCTGCCGTGGCTGGTGGCGATTGACACGTGATTCGGCACTACTTCCTGAGTCCTGGCAGCCTCCAGCCGCCGAACGTGCTCACGCAGCCTACGCAGCTCAGCTTCGCACCCAAGAACTGTCTGGTGTTCTTCGTGAAGTGCGCTCTTCAAAAAGTTGCACCTTTCAACGTACTCCTCTTGCCACCGCCTTTCACTGGGGCTCAAACCAAGCGATGCTTGGACACTCTTTTCTTTCACATTGGGCTCAAAGAACTCCACCTCCGGCTCAGGCTCGGCTGTTGGTTCTGCCTGCCACCAAGCTTTCCACAAGCTCCGTGCAGCCCAGCCAACACACAAAGGAAAACCCACCATGCAAATCATGATGAAAAGCCACATAGCCATAGCCGAGGTTGTTGCAACGACAAACTCCTCCAAGAAGCTGCTAGCCGTAACCAAGCCCAAGCCCTCAAAACCACCATAGCCATCACCTGCGATGATTTGGGCCAGCACTAGAAGAACAGGAAGAGCTTGGCGACCAAGACGGGGTCCAACTGTGTGCAACTAGGTTGTTCACTTGCTGCTGGCGGTCAGCTTCCTGACCTTCCTTTTCCCCATAGCGCTCTCCACTGTCCGTCATGGCCCCACTTCTCCACAACAGCTCTCGGGGCTTCGGACCACAAGGCGGCTTGGTCCCAACATCGGCTGGGTTGCAGGATCCGGCAATGGGCCCCACTCGCAGGAGGCCACGCTTCACTGCGTCTTGCAACCACAAAAGGCCGCAGTCCAGGTGCCGAACTCGGCCGCACCCAATCCGCTGAGAAATGCCGCGGCTTGCGGCGCTGTCTGTGCGAGCTGTGGCCTCGATCGTTGCATATCCTTTCAGCACAAACTCCATGCATTCCTTGACATACAACATCTCACCCGCGCCGGCAACGGTTGCTATGAACTCTGACTCTCCCGAGGAGAGTGCCACAGAGCGTTGCGATCTGACAAAGGAGCTGAGCAAGCTTCCTCCGAGGTAGATCTGGGCTGAGGTCTTGCTCCTCCTGTCGGCCTTGTTCCCACCCCAGTCGGCGTCAGTCACGCTCTCCAAGATGATCACGCCACCGGGCTCCAGGGCAACTCCACTTGGCTTGCCAAGGCACGCTCTGTCCTGCACCGGCTTAATAAGGAAGCCCAGCATGGGCACCCTCGCCAAATATCCCACTGTCCTGCAGAGCCTTTTCATAGCTCCGGTGGTTGGCCATGCTGCTTGCCAAGGCGCAGGTGGCAAATTGCACATCTGGCCTTGAGTGGCTGAGGTACAAGAGCCGCCCAAGGCATTCACGAAACACTCGGGCCTTGTGTTCTGGGAGCTCTTGCGAGGTGTCTTTCTCGAGAAAGCTGTTGTCAGCCGGGGTCTCTCTGAAGCGGGTCTGTGCACCCAGGGCCTTGACCAGCCCCTCTAGGTGCTTGTTGTTGGAAAACATCACCACACCATCTTGCTCCAAAACATACCTCCGCTTCAAGAACTCAAACTCATCACCAACTTGTAAAGCTGGCTTGCTGAACTGCACCACCACCTTCTCTTCAAGCTTTGCTTTGAGATGTGCCCGGGCCTCGGGGGTTGAGGCTAGCAACCCGTCGTCTGCATGAAGGACCAGGCTGGTCATGTCGCCCTCCTTGGCCCCTCGAAATAACGTCGGCTCTTTCGGGAAACTTTCAAGGCCAGCCTCCTTGAGGATTCCGGTGATGAACCCGAACCACTCACCAGCCGCCACTCTCTGTCCCGGCAAGAGGCGCTCCAAGACGAAGGGCACCATCCGAGAAGGCCCCTCCTCAAAGACACGGGAGTCAATCTCGATGACCACGGGGGCTTTCTGCGGGACGTTCAGATACGCGTCTTTCACGTCCAGCGTGGTGAGTTCAAGGCCCACTGGGCTATCAGTCCATGGCAGATGGCCAGCGAAGAGGCCGGAGCGAAAAAGTCTTGCGTCCACGGTGACCAAGACTTAAATTCTCGGGCCACCAGGCGCGATCGCCTTACCCACGTTGGCCGCTTCCGCCAATCGCGGACGACCTTTGTCGTCAAGCGGCTGTAGCTAGACAGGTCCTCGGAGGCCTTGGGGTGGCGTATGGCTCCCATCTGCATCAAGCGCTCCACTTCGTGACGGTCGCTTGCCAAGTCGAGCTTGAGCAGCTCCTCTGGTGTGACCTCAGGCGGTTTCTCGCCATCGTGAAGCACTTCGCTCTCAAGGTCCTCCGGCTCGGCCTCCTCCCAAAGGCTCTCACCAACCTCATCAAGCCACTCCTCTGCACACGAAGTCTCTTCCAAGCACACATCACCATGAACTGCCCGAACTCCTGCAAAGCCTGGCGGGTAGAGGGAACCAGGGCTTGCTGCTGACGGTGAGGATCCTGGTGGCCTGTCCAAGAGCAACCGCGGCCTCTTGGGCGTGGCCGGCGGCGCCTCTGACTCCAGACTGCGGCTAGACTTTGCCACTTCCATGGCCATGGGACCCCCACCTGCCTGGGCATCATTGCTAAAACGACCCAGGTCTCTGCTCGCTGCTGCCTGCTGGTTTCCATCTGTGTCTCTCATGGTTGGTGCTGCTGCTCTCTCACTGGGCCGGTGCCCGCTTGACC